TTCGGTACGTATACGCTTGTCAAAGAAAGCGGTTTCAGTTGATCTAGACTCTCTCACCTTTAACGGGACTGAACGTTCCGTCCAAAGGACACTCGGATGGTGGACTAGCTAACGATTCCGGTGTTGTCGCTGCGCATGGCGAAAACGACTGAGCGATCGGCAGTTGTGAACAGCGCTCGTCCTCTGAAACATAGATGGCTATTCATGATTAAAGATGTTGATTTTAGATAGACCAAGGAAAGAAGATCGCAAATCAAAACTAAGTCAGCTAAGCTGGAGCCTTTCTATCCGGCCATAACTGCTTCGCTTGTAACATTTCATGTTAAAATTAATAGTGGTCGCCGTTCTCTTTGGAGTGCGCCACACATCCGACTCTAATCTAATAGAAACATTAGTGCTGTGCCAGCAATAAGCAGTGGAGCAAGAGAGGTTTCAACTAGAAACAAGATCATATTATAACCATTGTTACCTTTAACTAGTACTAATACAAGTGCTAGCTAGGAAGGCACCATGCCGCAGAGAGGCATTACGTCTCTATCGGCATGCCATTGGAACTGTAACGCAATTAACAGAATATGAAAACTTGCGCTTTTCCACCTGGTCACTACTTAAAACCATAACTTCTGCAAGAAATATGAAGACCTTATGCGAAGCACAATGGACTAATCAAAAACTTCTGTCAAAGCCTGCTCAGATCAGTAAGTCTCCCCCCCCCCCCCTCCAGATCGCATCATTTCTTAATTAAAACGCCTTTACTTACTGATTTAACACTGACCACGAATTCAATGAAAAGGAGTTCAGGGGGGGGGGGGGGAGGTGAAGGAGCACTCCTTGTTATTTTATCTTTAGTAGTAAACAGCACTCTTTGCACGCTCTAACACTAAGGTTATGATAATGTGTAAACTATTCATTTGAAGTGTACTTTTACGAAAGACTGTGAGTGTCCTACATCCCACACATATTGCCCATAAACTATACAATCTTTTACACTTGATCATACACCTGAAGCTTCTCCACCCTTCGGCCTAGGCAAAGATCTATTCCTCAAGGCCGCTTCCTTGGGCCATTGCAGCCGAACTGTGGGTGTATCACAGGTAAACTTCTATACTACCGGTACTTGTCGGAAGTATACTTCAAGTGAGTCCACTACGCGTCATGCATGCTCTTGTTTTTACCTTTAGTTTTGGAGAGCGCAACAGATTGTCTCCCAACCCCCTCCATCGAATTCCATTTTCGTGCACGAATTCATACCACAACTGGGAAACCAAAAATGAAAAGTCCATGCCCTTCAGAAAACACATTTCAATCGAACTGTGTTTCTCCCGACACTACATTTATCAACACCGTCCCCGAGGATTGCCAAGATAGCCCCCCCCCCACTCCCTCTACTCTCGTAGTCGCTAGTCCACACATGAGGTGTTAGCAGTATGTCGCACTCCGTGAACAATGAACACGTATGGTTCACGACATACATATTATCGTTGATTGGCGATCGTCGTTCTAAGAATTCGTCATCCGCACACGATTAGGTCATTTGTCGATGAACGCGTGCACGCATTTCAGAAACGTCATTCTCAGAAAAAACAACCAACCAAAATGATTACCAGAAAATGGCATACATAAAACACATCTGCGTAGGAATGATTCGATTAACAATTTCGCGCACGCAATGGAAAAAATCTACAATTGATTCCGAACGAACGAATGCGGCATTAAATTATGGCATAGAGCTCCCTATGGAGCCCTGTAATTTTGTAGAAATGAAATGTGTGTAGAAAGGATATCGCTGCGTAGGCGGAGGTTTCAGGTCTGAGGACATATTATCCGTACAACACCCCAGAAAAGCTCATAAACTAAGAACCTTGGACAAAAGTAGGGACGGCTGAAATGATCGGCATCGATCGACCACTTTGATATGCGCCATGCATTTTGTCTCCATTCATGGACGTAACGATATTTGACTAGTTGTACTGAAACGCACGCTTGAGATTGACGTATTTGGCTCTACTATACAACCTCTTCCCATCGCATCTCCCTATTTATTTCTTACTGACTGAAACTCGTCTTCGTCTGTTCTCATTGAGCGGCATGTCTTTCACGGTTTCAACTTCATAAAACACACAAAGTCCTTTAAAACGACCTTATGTGTTTTATAAAAATGAAACCGCTATTGCCTTCCAACTGCGACCCTCAAAAACTTTAACAGTTATGACCAACAAGACAAAATTCACTTGACAAAACATTATTTTGAGCCATGCTGCATCATTGCCACCCTCTAGAATACTGTGACTTTAGTCCCCGACCAGTTCCTGCAGCCGCCACTCACTCACATATGCAGATCCTTTCAATCTTGTCACGCCGTTCCGTGCGATAAATATTCCGACAACGAGCTATAGATCGGATTATATACAACAACATCCGTGCAGACTGACGCATCGCTATCGACACTTTTTTGCTGAGAACTATCGAGAAAGACCTCCAAACGTTTGGAATATTTCCAATACATCAGGTAACATTAGGATTAAAAATCTATCGAAACCTCCCTCCATTCGACATCTTAAAGCTCGAGTCGTAGACCAAAACTCCCTTCCCTAGACACGCACGTTCCATAAAACAGCACATTTCCACGGCCTTGAGTCTTTATTCTGGGAATCCTATTTCAGCTTCTTTTTTCTACCATTTCCAAGTCATTCAATGAATACCGGGGCCCTCATTGACGTCGAAAAGCTTCGACGACACCTATCGGCTGCGACGTCACATGCGCCCGCGTCGAAACCAACGATTAATAGTTGACGCAGCGTATTTCAACGAAATCGCACCGCCATAGGAATATCGCCTACCAAAACGCCATTAAAAACTAGTGAAACCGCATACGTCACCGTTCAAAATCATGCGATCTATACGACACCGACATAATGATACAGTATGACCAGACTGCGGCCACCGTCTGGCATGCCCACGAGCTACTTTGCAAAATGTTTCGCACAGAGTTGCTCCGCTGCGCTCTGTAGCTACTCCGAAGCGGCAAAAATCAGAGAAGACCGTCAACGACAGCATGCATGCCACGGGAGAAGTCTTCGCTTCAGCTATAACTTGAACCCAGATTCCTCGCATTCCACGGGTGCGCACGAAGCAAGCAAAAGCGAATCAGAAACTATTTTATCTGAGAAAATCATATTCAGATGTTCTAGCGAAAAAGCCTCGCACGGGAAGAACTGAAAAGTGCGAAACGCTATCAAAACAACACGGACGACAAGACGAAGACATTTTCCCTCTATTCTTCACCTAATACTGCTGAAGAGAAGAAATGAGTTCAACCGTCGAAGATCGAGCCGTTGTTGTAGCTGTCACTCCCCTCTGTCTTCAGGATGCGTACTTCTATAGAAACCATGTCATCAGAGCTGTGCTATGCACATTCGCCTTTTCATTCACTGTCACCCCCTTTATGACTTCCTTACGGTAACCGTTCCTCTGATATGATAGAATACGGTAGAATGATGGAATCAACCACTGAGATCCTCGGCGGGAAGCAGACCCCGCCCACACGATCAGTGCGCAATGTGATTTTAAGGATTTTCAGCGATTTATCGCAATTCCTACATTGGTGAACCAATCACCCCAACCACTTTCATGCTCAGACGCAATAATCTCCACCTATTCAACAGCGAACGTGCCCGTAACCACATAGCACTTACGCTCAATGAGGTGGTATAGTCGAATTTAGAGCCTCTCAGAGAAAAGACTTATGACTTACATTGTCCATTGGTCGGGTTGTCGGATTTCCAAGGAGTCAGCAGCGTGCATATCTACGAGCCAATCGTTACCCAGCAACAGTAGAGGCAAAGAGCGAAGGCGTGAAGTTAAAGCCAGGGAACACGATTGACTGCCAACGCGGACCTACATTGGTGACGTCGTTGAACACGGTTGGCGAAGAGGGGGGGGGGAGTCGGAAATCGGTCCCAAGCACATATCGAAGCGCGCTGCGGGGTTTGGCCCCCATCAATGACGCCAAATGACGTCATCAAACCGCTCCACCCCCAGCCATCACGTTCACTGCCTTTAACGTGCTAAGTCCACATCAGAAGTTAGCCGGAATACATCTACTTTGAAATTTGGTTGACTTATCACTTCAGCATCTCCAGGGGTCGAGCGCACAAACCAATGCTTCCTTGTTTTTGCCCGTGCCTTGCTTGGTAAAACTCTCTGGTCACCACGGTTTAACTTCTACCTTCACAATAACCTGGAGCGCTTCCAGTAACCTCTTCTGCTTTAATCACACGTGCTTCACTCTATTTTACCAGAAGGCTCCTGGGAAAGCATTCTTAGGGGGTGCTACAATTCATCTGCGACCCATGAGAACACTTACGACAGCAACTTTTAAGCATAATTTCAATTCAAATCGAACCAATTCATTCATTTTCAACTTCCTGAATGTGTCGCTTTATTGCAACTTTTAGGGACTTCCGTAGAAAACTCTGTCGGAAGCTCATTTCCCTAGTAAATCACTTATTAGTGCCGGTCTGCACGCCAGCACCAATAGGCATAGTGCACACAAACACAACCACTGGTCAAACAAAATCGTAACAACCGAAGACTAAAAACCGTCACTTGATGGAATGCTTGCACGACATCCGACCCGTTTCTATACTTCCTGTTCGATGGAAAGCACCCTTGCTCATCAATCATTCATGCCCGTCAGCGCACTAGTCATCATTGTTGCAATTCTGATAATTTTAACTATCTAATCGTTTATAAATTCAACACTTCGCTATGGTCAATGACGGATTATGTAAATGGAGCCGCTATATACATTTCCCATGAACATCCAATAACCCATAACTGCTTTGCTTTAGCTCATCCATTCAACAGTGCTTTCCTGCCCTCGTGCGACAAACATCAAAGAAATTATCAATATAGATCAGAGTGCATCACCTGGTCACTGCTCCTAGTCCGCAGCACCCGTTGAACATTCCCAACATAAGGACCACCTATGCCCCATCCTATGATATAGGTACAGGGGAGAGCTCGGTAATTTCTCGGTTACAAAACTGCAAAAATCACCCAAAAATTTAATTATTCTTTCAAAGCAC